AAAGGAATCGTTATTTAGAAAATCCCTCCTGAATGACATAGTTACAATATTGATACTTATTTGGATTTTTCAACTAACTTTATAATCGTTATCCCTTTTTCTCCTAGACTGCACATCGGTTAGGACTCTCGCCGACCATGAGCATCGTCCGGGGTTCGATCCCCTGCGGAAGCATACCCGATATCAGTGGTCGGTTCGCAAAATTGGGCTACCAGTATCACATGCTGAAAATTCCATACTTGTACCAAAACTACGGTGTGGAGTCAAGCTATAATAAAAAATAAAAAAAAACCGTGTGTTGACTTGATCCTTATCATTTATCTTTGTCCCTATTTGTTCTCTAATTTAAATGCCTCTCTTGATGCTTGTTTAATATATTGGTAATGTGTTGTTATACGACTATTATTTTGTTTGAATGAAGTCAAGGTCAGAATGACCTTGGACTGTCTGAGAGAACTGTGGGTGCATGATTTTTCTGGGCAGAGAGTTTTAAACTTACCTTGTTTGGAACATTCTACTTGATTCTAAGTTATTATAATAAAGGTTTTCTTGTATGAATGAAAAACAAAACGATATTGTTTTGTTTACTAACGTCTAGCTATTTAGTGCTGCTGCTAATAGCTTTATCAAAGTATTATTAAGCCAGAATTTACAAAGTTATCAGCTTATGTATAACAACTTAATCATCGTTCCTCAGTATGTGGTCATTTTTCGTTGTAAAATTGGCCAGTTGGTAAAGATAACGAAGCCAGGTGTGGATTATTAAATTTGATAAGTATGTAAGATTATAAAAGCAGTGTGTGTTTACATAATGGAATTGCTTATCACATTTGTGTTTATTTTTTCGTTTCATGGGGGAGCGGGGTGTTGTAACCAGGTCAATTTCTGTTTCAGTCTATTACTGCTATTCAGACAATTTGGATTCCATTTGATATGAAGTGCTTCTGATGATATTAGACGTTCTTTGTGATATCTGAAATTTTTCCGGATTATTTCAATATTGTCGAAATCAATTTTGTGGCCTGATTCTATGGCGTGTAGACCTATGGCTGATGGTTTTTCAAGCTTTTCTAGTTCAGCTGGATTTTTCAGTGATCGACTAATGGCTATACGGTGTTCATGTCTTCTTATCTTAATTCCTCGAGATGTTTGTCCTATATATATCGCATCACATTCTAAGCATTTTATTTTATAGACACTATCAGATAGGGAATCTTTAGAGATTTGGTCTTTTATATGGACAAGGTTGTTTCGTAGTGCGTCTGATGTTTTGAAGAAAACTCTGTTGTCGTCCTTATTGAGTACTCTTCTGATATCGTCTGACGTTGAATTTTAGTTAACCAATTTTGTTTTATAGTACTAATTTTTTACTGGAAAGTTCTCTTACCTGCATACCTACTCAACGACATTGTTGATATAACTTTGAATTTTTCAGCCACATAAACCGTACGATGAATAACCATCTTTTTTCTGTGTTTGACGGGTTTTTTTGACTGTGCAAAGATCAATCCTCTGTATTCTGACCACAACGAGTTGGCTATGGTCGTTACAGAAACCGGTGATTTTGGGTAATGCTCAAGTGTTCCTTTTAAGTCCTCTAGTATTGTAACTGAGTAAAATTCGTCAGGACCATTCAGTAATCACTTAATAAAATTGTAAGAATTATTTGTAGACCAGCAGTATCAATGCATAAGCAGAAAATTACTTTAGCTAAATTATATTCTAATCGATATCTTAGATAAGATGGCAATTTATTCAGTACACGATAGAGGATGGAATAAGATTCTTCAATGCTGGCCTTATATCAGGTGCTGTAATGTCAAACTGTCAGTAGTTCTTATTAAACCCGTATTTAGGCACACTAACAAGTGTTACGGAGCACAGAAACTCAAGTTCTGTTAGCAACAGTCAATGTAACTGGCCCCACAATAGCAGTTGAACTGACAAATATGGCAAGAGATGCGTAGCCTAGTTACTTCGCTTTACTGGCATTAAACGCTCTCTGAACTGATTTTTTTTGAACTTTTTTGGTTGCTACTTTACTCGGTGCGTTACCTTTAAATTTCAGTCATTTAAACAGAGGCTTCTTGTTTTCAGATGCAGGAGATGTTTTCAACTTTAACGGTCATGTGTTTCCGTACGACCTTTTCTGAAAAGCTGTTCTCAATTAAGATGTCTTAAGTTCATCCTGAATCACATCCTACGAACATTTACCTCTGAGCCTGCAGCTAAGTGTCCCCGTTGAATTTCTTTTGTACTGGAGAGAAACGAATTTTTGGAGATGTATATATCATCTTGTCCATGTGCTTCTGTTATGTAAATTTCTTTCTTTCTTACTATCCATAATGCTTATGAAGACACTAATTTTGTCAACAGTAATTATTCTTAAACTATCTGTGGAATCTGGTAAAGCAGTTCCAGAGGGCAATTTTCTTTGTTCCCAACTTAATTTTTTACAGTCGCTCCACTAGCTGATTTTTAAGAAATGTACTAAGAATTGTGGCAAAATCGTATAGTGTCTTCCACAGTCTGTACCAAAAATTAGTTCTTCTTGTCTGGAAAGGCATTTTTCAGTCAAAAGTGTTAGTCTACAGTTACTGGTTCCCGGGCATTGACTGGTTCCAACTTTGACCACGAAATGATTTCAGATGGAGAACCTCAAAAAATTGGGGAGTACTGAACGACTGTTTTGTCCTTATCTCGGGATCTTAAGGAGTATTTTTTCCATAACTCTACCAGATATTGAGTCCAGGATCTTCACTTCACAAGGACAAAAGAACTATCCAGTACTCCGTGGTTTTTAATGGTCCTCTAAATGATGTCAATCCGCAGTCTAACTTAAAACCTAGAAGATCCTTGTAAAGCGTCGCCTAAAATTTAATCTGATGCTTAATGGTGACTGGCTATAGGACTAAGGTGCATGGAGTACTAGAAAGCAATCATCACCAGTGGTGTGAACCAAGTTGAGTGTGAGGACAAACACTCATTGGCGACACTAGCTGGAGGTAGTTATATGGTAAAAATTATAATTCACTACCCACCGGATTCCGTTCCAGTGGCTGAACGCTCAAGGAGCTTCTCTCGTGATTTGAAGTTACTGGAATCGCTCTATGATAGGACAAAACAACCACTCAGTTCCCTCCAGTGTTTAATGGTTCTCTAACTGAAATCAGGTTGTGATCAGACTTAAAAGGTGTCAGATGTAGTCGCTTTTGTACTTCACTTATAGGAATAAATATAAGGACGTGTTTGATGCGACTTTTTCGGAGTATTTTTTATTCAGTTAGAAAGATTTACTGTGGCGATTGATTAATGCAGTCAACAAACTCAGAATATTGATAACTTTGATAAAGTGATCTTTGTGAGCACTACAAGTAATAGGGAGATTATATTTGTTGCGGGGAAAATAGATGTAAGGTTTTCTGAACATTCAGACTGTTTAAGGCATGCTCACTGTTGGTCACTGAATTGTTCAGTATCATCCTATGAGATTGAAATTATAATAAGAAGACCTAAATGGATAGTTAGTGCTAGGATATTGAACATTCGATTCTCATTCATTCATTCATTCATTAATTCAGTGGTACTACATCTGCTCAAAACTCTCAATAGATAGTCTACCAAGCTAACTGGTGATACTGCCTCAACCTCATCCTTGATCTTTGACCTGAGATAGTCTTATTCAGTCTCACGAAGAATTTCAGACATGAAACTTACGCTGAAATGTTGAAAAGTGAAGGTATCAAGTGGTAGGTGATGAACAGTTCCCGATAATATGCAAGCTGCATACTCATGTTGGCTGCAAATTCCGGCAGCAGAGGTTTATGTCTCATGTGGAGTAATATGCAACCATTCTTTTCATTCATTCTTTCTTCTAGAAGAGAATATCTATTTACTAGTGCATAAGTTTTGATAGCTTTCGACTGGTACTAGCTCATAATGATCTGTGATTTTTAAATCCATTAATTTTCTATAAAATTATTGAATGAATTATAATCTTTTCATTTCGATTGATAATTTGATTGGATATTTAGCTCCTGTAAGAGCCGGTTAAGAAATTCGCTCTATTCGATTGACAGAAGTTATTGGTGAAGTTCGTTTCATTCCTTAGTTTCTGCGTAGAAGTATTGATTTTACGGGAGGCGGGGGAGGGGTTCGATAGCTTCAAACCCAACTTTCTCTGTTTTTTGGAGCTTACTACATACCCGTCGAGGCTGATGGATATATCGACCAGCGATTGAACCCCGGACCTCATTCGTAGTAGGTAAGTATTCTACCATTGAAATACCGAATTTAGACTAATCTCAGATTGTGGCCGGTAGGGTCTACCATGTCGAGATGAAGCGAATGTCCACTGGTGGTTTCGGTTGACAATTTCCTTAGCACCGGCCCACTAGCTAGTTTTTTTTGATTATAGCTTGGTTCCACGCCGTATTTTTGGTACAAGTATGGAATTTTCAGCATGCGATATTGGTAGCCCAAATTTTGCAGGCCGACAAATGATATCAGGTGTGCGTCGGCAGGGGATCGAACTCCAGAGTCTTAACCGCGGTGCCACCGACGCACTCACATTGCCTGGGTTCGATCCATCTTAGCACCATGTTTGCCTGTTACTGAAGAGTCAAAAACCAGGACGAAACAGATGTCTAGTGCTGCTTGCTCTTAAACGATTCTCACATCGATAGTGGTTCTTAACGAAATCTACATCAAAATTCCATTGCTTGAGAAGTTCTGTTATGTTTTCCTTAGAGAATATATTTGTCTCCCTGTGATTTCTCTTAATTTATTGAAAAGGATGATTTAGCTTGTTAATTTTTGATGAAAAAGGGTTCTTTACATAGCTGTCTTGATTCTTATCCGGATTCTTGCAAACCTCTTAGTGTTTCTGCCCTGGATCATCTCAAGCATGTTGGGGGAAACAGTCTGTATGAAGACTAATCTCCAGCTTCAGTGGGTTTTAACGACAAAAAAAGAATAAGAAAAGAACAAGCTGAAAACAAGCCTTTTTATTATCCGTAATGTTACGAATAGTACAAGCATATTAATGCATCATTATTGCTAGGTAACAGAAATAATAAACCGTAAAATTAATTAATTATAATAATAGTTATTATCATTACTTTTCTTATTGTTTTAATAATTACAATGAAACTAAGCATTACTCACGAATCAGAAATACCAATGAATAACATGAGTAGTGATCACATTCCATTAAAGAGACAATTTTTCAGTGTATAACAAATTTTTTAATTGGTCTTGTTTTTGAAAATATTTGAATGATAATTTGTTTATACTACTAACAATACTACTTATAAAACGTGGATGATATTTTCCATAATGTCAGTACTCTATGAATGGCTTTTTGAGTTTTCTATTGATGGCAATGACAATAGTGATAGTAATCAATGATTATGATGACGATGATGATGATGCTGGCGATGACACTGATGAATTTTAGGTAGGTAGGGAGGGGAGGGGAAATGGAAGCGCCTTCAATGGATGACAGAAATTGATCCGGTTGTTTTCTTTTCCTCCTGTTCATCTCTCAAGGTGAACAATGACTCATACATTCGGATTTTGTGACAAACCGGTTATCATTTCCACCGCATTCATGAAAATAAAATGACATACAATCATTACTTTCTAAATCATAGAAAAAGTTCTGTGATGGATTTTTAATTTGACACGATCCTGGATCAGGTTGTTGACGACATTCAGATGGAACATTTTCAAATTCAATATCTGTAAATCAATAAAAAGTTTCGATTTATTAAGCTAATTCATGGTGTATATATTTTTGAATTGTAGTGGGTTGTCAACACAGAAATTTGTACCAAAGTTTAGCGATTCTAGTCACTATACTTCATGAAAGCATACAAAGGTAGGAACAGGGCAAAAATGAAACAAAATAAAATAATCTCTAAACATCTAAGAGGGAAGAACCGATACTCCTTGAAACCTGGATGTACTGAAGAAACAAAAATTGTATACCGCCAGTTGTGGGCGGTTTGGAGAACGTTATATTCGCTGTATTACTACGCCTAACCTTGTCCACACATGCACTCATTCTCGGAAACGTCGAAGACAAGAACCCACTGTTGGAACTTTCACTGAGCATTTACAAGTTAGTTCACCTGCTACTTTAGAGCTAAGTAAATAGGAGCTACCAGTAGGACATTGTCTAGACGTGATCACGAACACTTAGCAGTATGGTTGTCGAAAGGAAAAGGTAAAACAATCGACAGCTCAATTCTGGAGCGTATTATTATTAGTTCTGGTCATGCAGCATAAGAAGAGACTACTTTTGAAGTCATATATGAATTACGACCAAGTCATTCTGAAGGATTTCACCTCTATCTTCTTCATGCAGTCGAAACCTTAGCATTACTCAAGGAAAAACATGAAATTTGTGTTCAAAAACATTTTATTCAGTCTCTACTTCCATGACCCTAGAATTAACTTTTTAAAGTTTCTTTTCTTCCTGCTTCGCTTTCCTGCATAACTGTGAAATAGGCTCTGTGTAATACGTTTTTTGCAACCCATTTGCAATCTTACATTCTTTTGTTGCTTATCACCCGTGTCCAAACGATTATTCATCCCTCAATTAATTATTTGTCAACTTTCTTGATTACATAAGACTATTTTTTATTTTCAGACACAGATATTACTTATGCACCTTGATTTGCTTTGTTACTAAATAAAGAAAACTGATTCTTATTTTCGTTATGTTGATAATACGTTCATTATTCTTGATGTGAAAACTGACAAGAATGAAATGTTAAAGAAGTTTAATGATGCACATCCATCACTCATCTTCACTTGTGAAGAAGAACATGATGGTGGATTACATTTCCTTGACGTCCAATTGAGCAGAAGAGAGGATGGTTCACTCATGAGAGATGTCTACAGAAAACCTACATCTGTAGGACAATATACACATTTCCTCAGTTTTGTATCAATCCGATATAAAATCAATTTGGTCAGATGCCTTACGAATAGAGCAACACATATTTGTACAGATGACTCCCTAGAAAATGAGCTAGGATATATCCAAAATACGCTGGTCCAAATGGGTTATCTCAGTAGATTTGTTAAGAGACACATGAATACCAGGTACAACAAAGAAAAACTGACAACAGTTAAAAAGAAACAACTGTTCCTGAAACTTCAATTTAATGGGGACGTGGCTAGTGAAGTCTTACATCTGAGATTATCGAGAGCGATAAAACGGACTTATACTGCCGCCACCCTTTGTTTTTCATTTTCCAGCCGACCAATTTTGATTGCTCAAGTGAAAGATAAGCTACCTAGTTGTGCCACTTCGATGTGTATCTATAAATTTAGCTGCTCCTGTGGAGAAAGCGATATAGGGCGAACAACTAGACAGCTGAACAAACGCATTAATGAGCATCTTCCTTCATGGTTCGGAAAACGTCGAATAAAATCTATAAGAAGTTCTATTTTGGCTCATTTGATTGATAGCGGTCACCAAGTGGACAAAAATAGTACCTTCAAAGTTATCTATCGGATTCCATCGAGCCTTTCGAACGAATTCGAACCCGTCTTTTACACCTAGCCGAAGCTATGGGAATTCGAGAGAACAATCCTAGTCTTTACATACGAAAGAAGTTTGTTCTACCTTTGTCTCTCCCTTGGCCTAGGTGAACTGTATTCAAAACCCTCCCACCTTTTCTTATTTTCCACCTCCTTTGTACTTTTATAATATTTATTTAAACTCTGATTATCGTTCCACTTCACCTTTTCAGATTTGACCCAATTTATTTATACACTTATATACATATACTATCTTTGTTATTCTCATCACCTGCATAAACCTTATTATCAATATTTTGTTATCATTATAATCATCGTTATTAACTACGTTCAAAACATTTACCACATTATTATTATTAAGACTATTAAGATTATTATTTGATTCCCAAAATCACCGTCATTGGTTAAAATTTTATATTTAAATCTATGTAAATTAGAGTAAAGCCTGAAGAAGATCTAATTGAAAACAACAATATTGTTCGCTTATATGTCTTGTTCTAAATAACAGTAACCTTTCACCTCTGCCGTCAATCTCCATTGCATATATATATATATATCCCCCTAAATAACTGTACAGCATTGAAGCGAAGTCACGAAAAATGATCTCTTTGTTGCCTTATGTGTTCTTAAAAAGAAACTGAAAAAAAACACGAAAATGATGGTAGGAGGTGGGGTGGGATAAAGAATAATCAAGTGGAGAATGGAGAAAAATTTAATGGATTTGAGGGTTCACAAAGAGTGAATATTTACGTTCCACAGAAAGTGATTTTGAACCAGTACACCGTCAATCCGCAGAATGACAGTTTACACCTCTCTGATAGTTAAGGATTGCATAGATTGATGTTGCGTTTCGGGTTAGTCGGGTTTAACCCGTTCCCAACCCTACTGTATGTCAGATTAACGTTGTTTGATAAGGAAGGCGGTTGTTCGGCACATGTCCTAGCCAGCCTAACCAATGCGGTTTAACAAACTTATCGACAGACCCTCCTTAACTAATGCTGTACAAATGTAAATAAAGCCGCAATAACATGAACATTTATAAGACAGCTTTCAATGCTAAATATAGCATGTCTGAGTGCTATAATATGCAGACCAATGAACGCTTTGTTAACCTGATCAAAAAATTGAGACATGCATAAATCAACTTAAAGCCAAATTGGTTATCATTGTCATCAAATTTAGGCGAATGAGTTATCTGACTATTATTCGCCTTTGGTCACGGGTTGGATTCTCTACCTGTGATTATAATCTTTTATTGATCAATCTGAAAGAGATCACCTGCTTAACGCATAGAGGCATCATCGTTTCAACTGCAGGCGATGGCACTGGAAGTCAAAGCAGACATTCATCAATCCGAAATCAGTTTGGAAATCTGCAGCACTCCAGCATAAACAAAGATGTTCCGATTTTCAACATCAATGGTAAGTCAGTCAGTTCTTCTATGTTTACGTTACAAAATACATTTCGAACAGCCTGCTGCCTAATTTTATCATTAGCTGTGATCTCTGGCTCCATGCTACGACTAGACAGACAACCAGAAAGAATTACAAACAAGAAACTCTTGAAATGAACCAATGAAGAACATAGTACCCAAAAGATATTCCTCAGAAAATGAAGATAGATCAGATACACACTGAGGATACCGTTAGGTTAAATCCCTCCAGGCTATCACCCGGGTGGAATTCAAATGGAAAACGACAAGTTGGGCATCCGAAGGTGCTGCAGAGGAGACTGTGTGAGAAGGAAATGACAGCCTATGGGTAACAGTGGAGCTTGGCTAAAGAGAACCTCAGAAAACAGGAAAGAATGGAGATGTCCTACTGAAGAACTATGTTCCAGCTGGAACCCAAGGGAATCATAATAAGTAAAATATTATGATGTACATTACTAAGCGATAAACATCGAAATAAGCTGTAACCTTTCATACTATTACAGTCTGCAATCAAACATGCTTATCTCTCAAGAGTTTTAAGTCTACTTTGAATTGTTAGTGTACTTCGAATATCATTCAAGAATTGCTTAAATGTATGTCTAAAGCTTCCAGTCATTCATGGTTACTGCCCACGAAATGAAATCCCGGTGGGTGCGTACTGTGAAGAGTCCCAATCTAGGACGAAACAGCTGTCCAGTACTCCCAGGTTTTTCAATGGTTCTCTAACCAGTGTCAGCTCATGATGAAAATCCTGTAACCAATCAAATCCCTACAAACCAACACTTGAAATACAAAGTATTTTCTAATGTAACTCATCTTAGTTCAGTCATTCTACTAAAAATTTAACAAAACTCACGAAAAAACGAAGAAGCATGCATGAGATCCGATCACACTGAAGCTTAGTTATGACTGGAGTGAAATTTTGCTCACTAACTTAGAAAAGCATCAATGATAATCTTATTTCACAGAGCCATAAAAACATCAAATAAGTTTTTGGAGGCCTTGTGATACATTCACACCAAGAATACTCAACTAAAAGATACTGAGTGCCAATCAATCGGGTGAATTGTTAATGTTTCTGCCTGTTGACTTCTACCCAGTCATTTATAAAATTAAAACTCCCTCTCGTAAACATAAACAATATTTGCTAAATTACTTTTAATAATGAAAACAACAAATAATCATTGACATTCAAGTGTTCAATGGTTTTTACAAACAAATAAGATATTCTTTTTTTAAAATAAAAAACACATTAACATTATAACTGATACATGTAAATTTTCAGAAAAAATATTATAAGCCTACCTGGTGCCATTCTTGTATTACGTTTAGTTACGCATACTGGTTGATCAGGTGGGCATTCAGCTTCCCATGATTTAGAATGTTGTTGTTTATACAGCTTGCATGAATCATCTCCAACAAGGATACAGGATGTGATTGATTTTGGACATTTAGCAACCTTAGCAAGAACAACAATAACAAATAAACATGTAATATGGGTGGAAATTATTTTTGAGGGATAGGAGAATATGATGAACAATACTGATAAATAATGGGATTCTGTTTGTTGTTGTTTGTACTATTACCTTACAGTAGAAAATTGATATTAACCTACTTTTTTCTGATGCATTTTATGTTATATTTGGACTGGGTATGAGCGCCAAACTAGGACTAGCTGGTAGTTGCGCTGAAATCGCGAATCGGTAGGAGTTGGGATTTAGAGACCAGTGAATTTAGTCCCAGTGTCTGAATGGTCTGCGAGCTCATCTTGCAGCCAGAATAACCTGGGTTGGAATTCCGGTGGGTACGTACCACTGAAAAGCCCCAAACAAGGACGAAACAGATATTCAGTACTCCTAAGCCTTCCCCTGATTCCGTAACTGACTTCAATTCGTGGTCATACTGGAAATATATCAAATCCCTACAAGCTAGCTGTTGGAGGTGTAAGTGAATTTTTGTGCATGTCAGCACACTTGCTTTAAAAGATTGTATTTTATTATAATTATGAGACGCTTAAGCACCTTTTGTCACACTAGAACAAAAAAGTATGGTAAAATGTGAGGTAACAATCCAGCTCTGAACTTGAAGAAGTTGACAGTACGACGAAGTGCCACGTCTCCAGAAATTCTGCAGAATAAAAGTGCTAAATATATTTTTTTACTGTATGTCAACTGTTCATTAGTAAAATGACCACCGGTCAGCCATGTGGTCCAGGTTCAATTCCCGGCTAACACATTCCCAGACCTCGCCTAGTTTCTCAACCAGTGGTAAGCCTGCAAAGGACGGGAGGTTGGGTGTGAAGCTATCAACCTCATGCCATAAAACGAAACGCCGTCTTACAGCTCAAGTTTGAAGCACTATGTTTCTCTTGAAACTCGAAGGAATGAGAGAATTGTAAGACCCCTTTAATTATACTCTTTTTATTTTGAAATATATTCCGGTTTTGGTGGGCATAAAAAGAACGACTTTTCCCTATGTACTTTCCGGATTCTCAAAATCCGCGGTGGTGACTCACCGGTTCTTATGCACGATCTACTTTAGCCATAAATTGGTAGACTCAGATAACTATCTAAGGGTAGATGGATAACCTTTCATCATAAATAACCATGTGATTCCATTGAGTGATGTCTTCCTCAACATCTTATCTGATTGCAAAACAGGCGAAAAATTATCGTTATTCCCTTTGGTTCCGTGTGGAACATAGGGCTTCGACAGCATATCTCACAGAATGTTCCACCTGAGCCTCAGCAGCTCTTTCCAGCTGGTCCGAAGACTGGCCACAGTTTCTTATCTTACATGATCTCCTCCACGTCACACTCGGACAGGCGCGAAATTCATCGTTCTCTACTTGGGTTCCACTCAGACGATGGTTTGCCTAACGACGTCACCCAGTGGTTTCCTCAGCGTGGGTCCCACGGGTCTACATTTACTTAGACATACTTATTGGGTACTAGGTTGTTGATTGATTCATTCCAAGAGTTTCTCTTTTCTCATTCTCTCTGGCTGTCAATCTGGTCTGCAGTATGGAGCCAGTGATGGCAGCTGTTGATATACTGATGAACTAACGTACTATTGGTTTTGAAAATCTGAACATCGTTGTTTATGCTGAGTGAGGTAGAATTTTTCAAACTGCTTTCAGAGTAATGACTGCCTGTCTGTCCTTTCGTGATTTTTACAAATATATTGGTGCCGTCGCCTGTGGTTGATAAAATGTTGCCTAGATTAGTGAACGAAGTGATCTCAATGTTCTTAGTGTCGATGGTTACAATTTGGACAGAAAATGGTGGCAAACGTATTCAGTGTTTATGAATTCCCAGATCCATTAAATCTACATGTTTTCCCATGTTATTATTCTTTCTTTTGTATGTTCCTATTCACTGTAGTTCCAATGAATGTTCCCCTCTATAATTATGCGTACCTGATGACGTATAGCATCTAAACTCTACGTTAAAATCTCAGTTTATTACTCGGTGATATGTTATGATTTATTCTGAAGCTTACAAGCTTGTAAAATAGTTTTTATACCTCAGCGAGATAAGACTTCAGTCATCTTGTTGTTCTGTAGACCATGTTGCTATTCATTTATTTAATGGAGATTCGATAGGGAGCCGCAGAATAACATGAGAACCTTTTATTATCATTCGTGAGCACCGTAGTTCCGTATTCTGATCTGCCTTTGGTTATTAAGAAATGCACATCACAGGCAGAATAAAAACATCCACAAAATGGGGAGGTTAAGGTGATTTGTATTTCACTTCATTTAAGAAAATTAGGTATGAAAATAATTTGTTATCAATCAATTAAACTTATGCACAAATTATCCACCCGGGTCAATAATTACACAAAACTTATAAACTTGTTAATAAGTCAAGAAAAATTCGGTTACAGTATTTAATCATGAGCTGACATTGGTTAGAAAACCACTGGAAAACCAGCTAGGAGTACTGGACAGCTGTTTCGTCATCATATTATGGCACTCTTTAGCAGTACGCACCCACCGGCGTTCGAACCCAGGACCTTCTGGTTACAAGGCGAACTAGCTTGTAGACCATTACGCCACTGGGACCCGATGCAATGGCCAATTTATGACATAGCGTGACCGCTAGCTAATGTTTTCGGCGAGTATTTGTCCTCACACCCGACCTGCTGCACCCTACTGGTCACGATTTCCCGTAATCAATCAATCAGATCTTACAAACCAATACTTGAATACCGATGAGATACTCACTGGTGACTGGTTCTATTCAGGTAGGTAGTTACCTGAGGTTCTAGTGGGAAGTCTTGACTAGTAGGATGCAGCAGTTCGGGTGTGAGGACAAATACTCGCGGATAACATTGGCTAGTGGTCGCGCTATGTCATGAATTGGCAAAAGTTGGAATTCATGCAACGGCCACTGGATCGGGTCCCAATGGCATAATGGTCTACGAGCTCACTGGCCTTGTAACCAGAAGGTCCTGGGTTCGAACCCCGGTGGGTGCGTACTGATAAAGAGTCGCAAACTAGGCTGAGGAAACAGCTGTCCAGTACTCCTAGGTTGAAGACAGAAAGACTACATTGACTACATTGATTAGTAAGATGTGACGAGGATGTTAAAAGCAGGTTCACGAAAGCGATATAAATCTTCAATAATCTGAAATCAGTGCCGAAATCTTCTGTACTCAAGATACAGAGAACAAGATCAGGACTTTTCTTTCCGCCAACGTGAAGTCGTTGCTACTAAATGGTTCAGAGATGTGAGGTGAGTGACGTAAACGTCATTACCAGGAGGCTTCAGACTTTTAACAACAACATCTATCTTCGTATTATACCAAAGATAATAGGGCCAGAAAAGATTAGCAACAAGGAAATTTAGCAAGGAACCAACCAAGAGCCTGTTATTCAGCCAGTATGCTGGATCGATTGCATGTTGAGGAGGCCGTTGAGTGACATAACGCGTCAGGCAGACCCTCACGCTAAATGCCAAGTCCGCCACTGCTTCTGTATAGTTCAGAAACTGGGCACATGTGTCGCGGACTACTGAAATCTTCTACCACCCGCTGCCTTCGTTGTATGGTGGAGATCAAATGGCTGGCCATAAAAGCTTAGCAACAAGGAACTATGACAAACTACAGAGCAGCGAATATACCGAAGGAAGTGGAGATGGATTGGACACACACTGAGAAGACCTTTGAGTGATGTCATGCTCCAGGCCGTGGAGTGGAAGCCGGACGGGAAGTGATGAGATGGGTGTCTTAATGTGAAATGGTGGAGATCGTGCGTGAAGGAGATGAAGGCTTGCAGGCAATGACGGAGCTAGCTAAAACGGACTGTAGAGAACATGGTTAAAAGGCCGATTGGCTACTGAAGCTCTGTCATCCGATCTGAAACGAAGGGAACAATAATAATCTGACGTGTATATGATACATGAAAACTGCAAGGAATAAGAATATAATATTTGTACTAGAAGTATTTTCAATAAAAATGTGTAGTCTCAGACGTGGAAGTCAGGCAAACATATACAAACAATCTCCATATACTTTGGTCGACTTCTACTTTCTATCTGTAAATAATTGGATAAATTTTATAGGTGTGAGAAGTGTTGAATATTCCATGAAGTCTTTTTCAAGCTCCATCAAAGTCATGTGGGCGAAATTTCATTATCGTAGCACTGTTTTGATTAAAGTGCTTCACTGTACAGTGTATACTACTGTGCGGATACATCTGAGAAAAGACCGATGCTTGTAGAAATGAATTAAAGTGGGGAGAATTTGGTTGACTGACTGACTGAAATGCATTAAGTGAAAGAATATTGATTTTATACATACCTCACACAGATTTTGGTTGTTTTGAACACACAGTTCTTCACAAGCTGCTCGACTGTAAAATCTATTCGCATTTCCGCCATAACCACGGTAGCCAAACCAGCGACATCGACCATCTTTTGAATCATAGTACCAGGAGGATAATTCGTTGGAACCAACACCTCGATCTAGTGGTTGGCTACAAGCAATATGTGATGGTTGTCCAAGTGAAGCTATATCTCTGACTGCCCAACGAATTGGAGAATGGTAGACAGGCCGGGCTGGTTCTTTAGTTTGCTGGTCCTCTGTAAGTACACCTTGTTTGAATTGAACCTCATTTTCAGCTGTCTGACTGTATTCTTTGTTTTGAGGCCATGCAAAACGATTCATTGGATTAACACCCTCATTTGGCTGATCCATGTAATATGAAGGATCCATGTCTGATGATATTACGACTGTAAAAGTAATAAATAATCGATTAAATATGCAATGTCAGTTGCTCGTCACTAGTACATGAATAAAGTTTCGGATTTGAGATGGGTCATTTAAGCATCCCCAGAATATGAATGACGTTAGATGCAAATTAGAGAAACAGACGTGATCCATTAAGCCATAAACCCTTCAACCATTCGCCCACACAACCAAAAATCATTGCGAATAGTGAAATAGCTTCTTAAACCAACCTTTGTATTTATGAGGACAGAATGTATTTACTTCTTTTTATTATCGATTTTTTCATCAAAAATAGCTTTCAGATCAACTACAACAATATAAGAAAGTTTGCGGAAACTATCTACATCATTTGATGTGAGATTTTCGGCAGAGATGGCATCGCGTAATATTAACCGGAGGGAGGGGGAAGCGGCTGTAGTGTCACCGAAAATAACCAAGCCACAAAATAGTGGCTACTATTTGTAGCTCAAGTGAATATGTTCTAGTGTTATAGTGTTCACCGAGTTCTGAGAGCACAATAACATAATGCATTTGATTATTTACAGGATTTCATTATGAGGTAACATTAGTTAGAGAACCATTGGAAAACCTGTTTCGTCAGCCTAGTTTGGAACTCTTCATCAGTACGCACCCACCGGGTTCTAATACAGGACCTTCTGGTCACAAGGCAAGCTTGTATACGATTAAGCCACTGGGACCCGATCCAACGGCCATTGCATGAATTGTAACTTCTGCAAATTCACGACATAGCGCGACTCTTAGCCAATGTCTTCGGCAAGTATTTGTCCTCACACCTGACCTGCTGCACCCTACTGGTCACGGCTTCTCACTAGAACTCCAGGTAACTACCTACCTGAATAGGGCAAGTCGCTAGCTAGCATCTCATTGATATTAAAGTGTTGGTTTGTAGGGATTTGAGTCCCAAACTATGGCGAAACAGCTGTCCAGTACTCCTAGGTTTTCCAATGGTTCTCTAAATAATTTCACCTCATGATGCAATCCTGTAACCAATAAAATCCCTACAAACTAACACCTGAGCATTTGATTATGTTAGGTCGTGAGATGACATATTCTAGGTCATTTTATTCTACATGATATATAAATAGGACATTTAACCTTAATACGGATTAAAGCTAAAGTCAGTAGGTTTATGGGTAAGCTTAAAGAATAGTGACCACAGAGTGGCAGTTGTGCCAGTGACCCTGAAAACATGCGGTTATTACACCATCAGTATGAAATCTGCGTGCAACAGGTTTGCATATTCCTTTCCTGATTTAAGCACTGCTTGGACAATGGGTTGGTAGCATATTCGGGTTAAGGTAAGGATTAGGATGTTTTATCATCATTATTGTCAGTATTTTTCTTGTAACTATATAAATGAGAGGAATATTTCGTTCTTCATATGGATGAACATGTGTTACGCATGCCTACCTAGGCATTGCCTTCCTCGATGAGCAATGTTACCTGACGTAGGATCAGGTTGGAGAAGAGCCAGTGGTGGTCGGACCAAACTATGGCATCAGTCAGTGAAATCTAAAACAGTTAGTTAGTTAGCTTAAGCCACGTCTGAAGGTGTAGAGTGGCTGGCTGTTTGAGTTCCTCTGGATGGTAAAAACCAATTGCAGGAGACAGTCGGTAATGTGCCTCAAAATCCTCGTTGTCAATGGGTGACTTAAAATACCCAATAAAATTACATTGTTCTTCCATATTACTATTCTTTTTGCTTCACATTTCTGTTTATTATATCTCTTCTCTTGCTTTGTTCGCTACATGGAAACCAGTCAGGCAGTCAGTCCTATGGATGGAAATTGATAGTCTTCACTGTAATTAGGAAGTGTTTTTCAGTTATGTCAGGTGAAAGTATCTTCTTCAATGTATTTCATTATTATTGTATTGATTTTTCTGATAAGTAAACGGCTTTTTGGTATAAAACACGCGGCAGGTTTTGTAATCCATCGCATGGTATGCGATCACGGTCACTGCGGCATTAGTACTCCTTATGCTTACCCATTTATATTAGTATATATAACAACTAGTTGGAATATGTACCTTATATCTCCTTTACAATATTCTGACACTGTGAATTGAAGTGACAGTAATAAAAAACCCACAAGTTCAACATTATATACCCCAATTCTAACAGATTCTTTTTTCACCGAGTTCGTACTGATATGCTTAATACTGCTCTTTAAAAAAGGGAAAAACTGAAAAAAACCTTGTATATGACATGCCATTTGTGTTCAGTTTCAGAGTAAGACGTTTTTACTATCAACTGAAAATGGTAAATACAATGATCGATAATACTATCTGACAGATTTTGACAGCTATCCATTCATTTAGAAATTTGTAGATAGTTAGTGAATTCAAGAGTTAAGCTTTAAAAGTGCTTTTCATTGTGAGCACATAATCCGGAATCGATTGCGAATTAACTTGTAAATCATTTTCAGCAGAAAACGCAAAGATATCAGGTTATTTAGTTAGAACCCAATGGTCAGTAGTTCAAAAGACAACTTATTTTCATGATTCCATGGAGATTTCCCCATGGTTGTATCCTCATCTATTAATAGTGATCCTCTTGGAAGGGAGAGTCATAATAAGAGTCACCGGGAAGGACTGGTATTCAACGCCAAACTTAGGTTGAAGTTAACGCCTAAGAATTTGCCTGAAACAACGGTAGAAGCTTCGTAATTAAACCAGTCAACTCACATGACCTAATAACATTGAAATCACTTCCTCAAACTATACATTTTCTTTATTATAAAGTTGATGGGGTGGAGAAAAAATAAAATATCTTTACATCTTTATTACCTTGGTATTTCCTCAGTTCCTCTGGCAAATCATAATAGCTGTCATACGGATAAGTTGAATGAAATTGTGGCAAACTTGTCCCCGTTTCTACAGCCTCTTTTCGGCTTCCTCCTCCGAATGAATGTGTTTCTTCTCTCCTATCCTCTTGTTCATATGATAAAGAGTCAGTTGATGTAGGTTCGCCATCAGTGCTAGTAGTAGTTGTAGTAGCAGTAGCATCCTTGTCCACCTTTGATGCAACTGATGGAACGAATGTCGTTGAAAAAGACCATTGTGTTGAATTATCTTTATTAGCCTCTGAATATAATGCATCTGCAGGTATGAGATGGGCCCCAGTTATAAAATTAGGTATAACATAATTAGATGTTGAATCTTGTGGAATATGATGAACAGTTGTGAAGCCAACTCCATTATTATTATTAGCAGTAGTAGTATAAACAGTCTCGTTGCTATTGTTCATTTCGTCGGTACTCGGAACTGGTGACTGAAAGCCTGCAGAAGCTGTTAATACAGATGGTTGACTTCTTGCATATACTCTCTTCACGATTTGTTTACCTTCTAAAACAGCTAGATAAGAAATTAAGGTGGAAAATATATTACATAATGATTGGACATTTAAAGGAGAGGCATTCATTCATTCGTCGAAAATACATGTGAAATTGGTGGAAATTCAGGTGCATTAGTTTTATCGAAATATATTTTATGGTTGATGTAATCACATTTATCAAGTTTAAACTCAAATTTGCAGTATTTTATGAAAGGTTTCACCTTAGCTAAATTCTTATGTTCCAACAATGTGACTACCCCCGACCTACTAGTTTGACCTATGTCATTGACTTAACTCACAGTCATTGCAAGGTATTTTGTAAATTATGTTATTTAGTTTGATTGGGTTCACCAGGTCCTTTAGCCTACAGAACCTGTCCTATCTGAGTGAGTTTGTAGGTTTAAACTTCACCCTAATTCTTGCCTTATGAAGAATCCTACTTAGGGTCTCAGATGTCCCCTCCTTATATAGTAGAACTGTAGATGTCTCATATTCTCTCTTATTTATGTTATCATTATTAGTTTCACCATAATTTTTTTCTCTTGTGACCTTTTTTGATATTCCTAATGAATTTTATAGGATAGTTATTTAAAATAAACGCCTCTTTTATCTGTATCATTTCATCGTTTAGGTCTTTCTTGTGCTACTTAGTGCTACTGCTCGGTTTGTTAAACACTTAACTACGCCAGTCTTTACAGACAACGGATGAGATGAATTAAAGTCTAAATATGTATTAGAATGTGTTGGCTTTTTTAAATGCTAGTGTGCAGTTTACCTTCTTCTGTTCGTTTGATTTTACAACCTAACATAGCTATTTTTTCTTGTTCATTTCCTGTCTGAAATGTAAAGTGTATTCCCTTCACTGGTGAGTTGATATGCGTCAAGAAGCTAGAGATATGTTCTGTTTCTAACATTGTGAAAGTGTCATCCACACATCCTTATATCAGTAAACAAATTTATCGTACTATTTTTTTAAGTATGTACATATTCTGTCCAAAATGAACAAGTGACTGTCATTACATGACTTATTACCGCTTACCTTCAAAATGAGTTTCTTAAAAGCCTTATTTATGGTTGTCATAAATGGGATTCAGAATGTGGAATTATGGGACAAATAATCAGCGATGATATCAATTTGAAGTGGTACTGTACTGCAAAATACAATAAATTGGATCCACAAACTCTTTAAACTCAGATGGAAAGTTTAATTATAGCGTGATCACCTGAAAGTCTGTGAGTGGCAAGTTCATTTCTTCAGAATTACGAAAAAATTGTCAAGTGGTGTTTGAATTTCCAGCGGTCTTTAGCTGATTTCATATCTTGACAGAATGAAATTACTTCCAATAAAAAAGTTGAATACCGTAAAAACTGAGTATTTTTCAATGAAAACTACCAAAGCTGCATGTCAGTGGTACCTATCGAATGAAAATGTGAGACAAAATCTTGTTGGACTTCATAAGCCTTTCTGTTCATCATGAAACTTGCTACCATTTGTATAAATACAATAATTTAACAATATTTGATAGTTGAAGGCAATCAGCACAACGCCTTGGACTTAGGTTTCGTGCTAGCTGGCACTCACCAGTCAGCAAGGCATATTTGCAACCTTCAAGGAACTCATGTCACTTCTAAGGTTCGAACCCGCGTCACCAAGTGCTGCAGTCAATGACGTTACCGCTGAGCTATTCGGGCTCACAGTTGACCTCCTGTAGGACTGCAGTGCGTATTTTGATTGGATACTACTAACTAGTGTGACGTGTCTAGTCCTTTCTGTGGTGCAGATTCAATTCTGTTGGAAGGGACATAAGTTCCTTCATGGTTGCAGACACGCCTTGCTAACGAATGTCAACTAGAACGAAACCTAGGTTCAAGGCTTCCTACCGATTGCCTACAACTATCTAATATCATCAAATCAATGTACACCGTGATGGTGAGCTGCCTAGAATGGTGGCCACATTGCAGAATTGACTGAAAGAATGTACTCTGCACCACATAAAGGACCAGACACATCACACTAGTTACCAGTGTCCAATCAAAAAACGATAATTGCTACACTACGAATTCGGATTTGATTATTTATACAAATACTGCAAGTTTTGATTGAAAATCTTAATAATAGATTCTCTTCTTTCGTTGTGCTCTCAAAGCCATAACCACATTTGATCGTATTTCCTCCTCACTCCTACATCTATGAAAACCTCACCAGATTCAGAAACAGGCTGTTGACAAAGTTTTATAAAAACTGTGTTTCGCTTTGTTATCCAACGGTGGCCTTCTAAATCTACCGTGAAAGTGATCCAGAGAAGAGAAAGTTTTTTAAAGTAGAGTTTGTTTTCCCCTGTTGCATCCACTACCTGAGACGACACAAACACAGTAGAAGTGTCGTAATGCACAGAAAATACCTTTCGATAATTGAAGATACTGAGGGACTGTCATGTATATATATAAGATGGATAAAACGTTTTAATTTAATAATTAAAAACCAGGTACTTACCATATGCATCGGCTGAATGAACAAGCAGAAGACAAACCAGATTTGTGATCTGAAAGATTGCGAAATCGAATTAAACAGTAATTACTGAAGAAGGATGACTGTTTTTGTAAATTATTGAAATTATGTGTTGGGGTTCATGTTTCTAAAGTTAATCGTACTACCTGTCTTGCTGCTTATCGATTACTGCCGTTGTTCTTATTGCGTTAGTTTAACAAAAAGGGCTAAAAAATTCTCATTTTGTCATGAGAACGGCGGCTGAAAAATGCAGTACTCACTAGAAAAACACCCAAGATAAATAACTGCAGGAGGTCGGCTTGACTTTCCTGACATAAGCGATTTGAGCTGTTCAAAAAAGAACGTGTGGGATCAGAATATTCAAAATGCGTTGCATAAATACATTACACATCACAGATAAATTGCCTACTCTCACTGTTTGTAGAACGTCTTGCTAAATTTTCTAAATTCTATGTTTAATTATTTGAGTCGTATTTCATGTCACATTAAATTGTAGGAAGTTATGAATAGATAGTTGCAGCGAAGAAAAGTTTCCTTTTCTATAAAGTCACCAACTAGCATGCATGTCCATGTACTGATACTAAGTGGGTAAGAAAGTTTCAAAATTATAAATAATAACAGGATTACCAATGGAGATAAGAATGTAACAATAACAGGAAGTTCTTACAAAAACATAGTTTTAGACAGTTGGAGGCAGTGGGTAGGAAGCCTTGGAACTAGGTTTCGTGATAGTTGACACTTGTCAGCAGGGCATATCTGCAACCTTGAAGGAACTCATGTCCATTCTGAGATTCAAACCCGCGTTACCTAATGTTGGATTCACAGTCGTTACCAGTGAGCTATTCAGGCTCACGATTGACCTACTGAAGGACTGTATTAGATATTTTTAATTGGACACTAGTCGGAGACTAATATAATGTGTCTCATCTTATCTTTGTTGCAGACTGAATTCTATCAGAAAGAACATGAGTTGCAAATACACCTTGCTGATGAGTGCCAACTAGCACGAAACCTAGGTCCAAGGCTTCCTACCGATTGCCTCCAACCATCAGTACCAAACATTTACAGTGCACCATGATGGCGAGCTACCTAGAAATGGTGGCCACATTGCAGAATTGACTGATAGAATGTACTCCGTACCAAAGGTAGGACTAAACACATCACACTAGTTACTAGTGTCCAATCAAAAAGTAGTAGTGTAACAACAGAAGACAAGGGCGAGGCAACAGATCGTTTATTAAGGAAATCAAAGCATATTTATAGATTTTCATGTACATTATTATAGATTATTTAAGCAAACAAACACAGTCTTCTGATTAGTTGTTTATCACTTAAAGTTAATCTTTCATCTCCTTTTTACTGTTTCTTGAATGTCAGATCATCTATATGTTAACTGTATTCGCCTACGCAAAATCTGCTGTGGTCGGTTTTGAATCAGTCTTTGTTCATATTTTCTCACGACCAATATTGAGAACGTAAACATTGACGTAAATTACTGTCTACCAATTTGGCTAGTAGACAGCTCTCACCACAGTAGGATAGTAAATATTGGGAAAATTGACTGTTTATTATAGCCATGGTATAGACAAAGAATGGTCGTATTACTTTTGAATAAATGGAGTCGGCATGAAACTATGGATCGCTGGTGCCTGAACTATGCCCAGATGCCTAGTTCTCGTTCCATTTATTACGTCTGATCAGATCTTGTTTATGATTTTGAACGGATTTCCAAAAGCAGCCGAATGTTCTAAGTTCGTCAGATTTTCTGTTATCAAACTATATACACACATGCATTCTCCCTTTGCGAGCGGAGTGAGATAGTGTCTTAAAGTGCGCGGTATGTCAAATGTACACAGCTCCACTAGAAAAAGTGAATGGGTATATGCATGCCAAAGCGGCCAAATGAGACATCTTGTCTTTCGCATGCTGGCTGATAAGTTGCAAGAAAATGTCACTCGTAGGCTGGCAGCGAAGTGCGTTTTACTGAGAAACTTCGAAGGCCGTTTTCGGATAATTGCTGCTTCAGTATCACTTTTAAACTCCAGACTAATCAGCGGAGGAATCATTCTGACGACAACTTGGATCTGTTCAGAAGTTTTCCTCGGTTTTAGATTCTTGTCTATGAATCTAGGTGAGAAACCATTTTCCAACCAAATTCCTCAAGGATTTTGCAGTTCTTCGTCAACAAATTCCCTGGTAAATATTTTCCGGATCCTAGTGACAAGAGAATATATGAGATTTCTCTTGTGTATGTTATACTGACTGCTTTGTAAGGCCTGTGACAATTAGACTGAATTCAAGGTGAAGCACTTCACCAACTGATGTTATCTGTTTACCTCGCTGGTGATTATGTCTGCGTATTGGAAATACTTGCTGTCTACTTTAGTTTAATCAGGTCAACTGAATACTCAGGGAGGCGTGTGAAGGCGATACGGGAGTAGGTCAAGACTGCCTACTATCACTGATAAAATTCCCAATTGTGGTGGACTTGATCATGTGGTAGACTGTGGTTGGAAAGGCAACAATGGAACGTCGGACCGACAAAAAAACCCTAGAATATCTAGACTTGACAGATGATTTATGTCTAATGTCACACAAACTCGAAGACTTCCAGTAGAAAGCCAACAGACTCACATTAGAAGCAACAAAGAGAGGACTGGGTGAGCACAGAAAAGACGGAGGTGGTCAAGACAACCAATCAACAACAACAAGAAGCACCAATTACTTTCAACAGGATAAATTTCCTAAAGGTTAATTCCCTCACTTATCTAGGAAGTACCGTTTCTACTAAAGACGATATTAATGAGGATGTAGAAACCACAATCGGAAAAATAAGGCATTAACAACAAAATTCGTAGTTTCAGCGCAGACAATAAGTCAGTCGATTCTTCTGCATGGGTGACAAACTCGGTGCTTCCAGGAAAGCATTTCGAACAGCCTACTGCAAACTCCCGTTGACAGAAGCGTTCTTTAGCTCCACAGTGAAGTTCCCTTGGTTGGCCAGAAGGAAAGAATTAGTAGCAAGAAACTTTAGGAACAAACCAACCAACCAAGAACCTACTGCTCAACAAATGTATCGAAGAAAATGGAAATGAAATGAATACACACTGAGGAGACCGTCTAGCGATATCGCAATCCAGACCGTCGCTCGAGTGGAACCTAAATGAAAAACGACGAGTTGTGAGTCCACGAATAATATGGAGGAGTTCTCGCAAGTGGAAGATGAAAGATCATAGGGAAATGTGGGCCAAAGTGAAGAAGACTGCAGGAAATATGACAAAGTAAAGATTTCCAATGCGAATAATAATAATGATCATGTAAATTAGCATGAATCGTAAGCTAATGTAAAATTTTATATTGGTTTTCTAAAAACATAATAAATCCGATAGATTGACGTAGAAACAGACTACCAACATGTATACTTATTTACAATGTTATTTTATTACAAATGTTAATACACTGTTGGTAGATTTACTTTCACTTTTGTATTGAGGTCAAATGTCTGCGGGAATTGCTTAAAAGGCTAAATTGACTTGATGAATGAATGACTAAGTCGCTTAGCGAAGGCATACGGACAAATATCGACTTGTATTAGGACTATAAAATGTGCTATGCGTGTTTTCTAGACGTTTTCACATTTTAAGTGGGTCAGGTGAGAAAACATCAGCTAACGGGATTGATTTAAAGTTTGTGGGTTATAAAAAAGGATAGTTATAAGCATTGATAAAAGTGAATATATATATATATATGTCGTAAGTTTTGTCCAAGTTACTTCCCTAAGTGTCGTTCTGGAGAATAGAATGTCTTGAAGGTCTAACCGAAGGAACTCCAAGTAACATAGCAAAATTAATGGAATTTATTATTGACAGTTCAAACTCGAAGACTTGCAGGCGAAAAACAACAAAATGGCAGAAGTGACAGGCAGCGAAGACAGGACTCTAGGTGGACATAGAGAAGATGGAGGTGATCAAGTGAAACAACGAACAGCAATAGCACCAACAACCAGCACCAATCATTGTCAACGGAAGTGATTTGACAGAGGTTACCTCCTTCGCTAATCTAGGAAGCATCGCTTCAACTACAGACACTCTGAACGGATGAGGAAATCAGAGCCAACCAGTCAGAATCGGAAAGGCAAGATATCCCCTGATCAATCTGAAACCGCTTAGTAAGTCTTCTGCACTCAGCCAGCATAAATAACAAATTTTGGATTTCTAACACCAGCGTTATGTCAGCCAGTTCTTGTATGCGGTTCAGAAACTTGCACTGCATTTCAGTCACGAAGAAGGATCTTCAACAGGTTTCAGACTTTCTGGAGACATTCTGGAGATCGTGCGAAGAGAACATGAGAGGTTACAGGCAATCTTGGACGCAGGTGGAGAGGACAGAAGAAAATAGAACAAAGTGGAAACGTGTTGTGGAAGCCCTATATTCCACTCAGAACCCAAAGGAAGAATAATAAAATCAATATTAGCAGTCTATTATACAGTCATTTTTCCGAGTTAATGGAACATTATAAGTCCTATGATGCAACTCCTAACCATCAGCAAAGTGGTCTAAGAAACAATCTATTTAGAATCTTCCAACAGTGTTAAGAAAACGGGAAACTAATTACACTGATATTTGTGTTTCATGGTGACCATTTAACCATTTGAAAAATTCATATCCCTTGGAACCTAACACTGTTCATGCCCGGTCTTTCTTTCTGATGGGTTACCAATGGGAAGGAGAAACCGGTGCTCATCGTTCAGTTTTTCTTAAAAAGTTGCGAAGCCTATATCGGTACTTCATACGGTTACCACACAGTATCGCATCAAATTAGGCTAGTATGTCAAATGCGAGGAGGATTCAGTCGACTGAAAGCCCTGAAATTACTTTTTATGCCTGTTGACAGTCAATATAATAGGAATACCAGCGATCTAGAGGCGATTTATATACACTACATAAGTTGAGATTGTGTCACTTATTATGGAAGTTGGAGAATATACTGCTAGACTCGTAACTGTTAAGTGTATTTTGGAAATTCTTGATAAAATATAATGACACACCTCCGTTGATTGAGAAATTATACACTGGTTTTCAGGAGAACCAAAGACACTCATCTCACATAGTTCCAGGACCAGAACTGCATAAAAACATATCGGCAACCCGTTTTACAAATGTTTCTGGTCAGTGATTGTATTAATGTGTAGATAAAAGAATTCACTGGAGAAATGGATTTAACGACAGCCATTCTGTGCGTGGGTGACACAGCACATAGTCCAGGGTTCGGTCCCCTGCTGACGCACACCTGATATCAATTGTCACCCTGCAAATTGGGCTACCGATATCACATGCTGAAAATTCCCAACTTATACCAAAAATGCGTTGTGGAATCAAGCTATAAAAAAAAATTTTAAAGACTGAATACTTACCAGTGTTACTTGAATAACTTTCATTTTGTATGGGATTAATCCAAAATATTTCTGTTGAGTAGGGAAAACGTTGAAAATCTAATTCTGAAATTAGAATAAGTAAAAAATTGATTAGTTCTGAGGAACAACTATTGATATAAGATAAAGACTTTCATGATATGTGTTCAGTTTTCGTGTTGAATAAAAGATAATATTAGTAGGATTTTATGAAACCTCTAGAAAATACCTCATATAGTGGTAAGAATCTAACAGGAAAACAGATGAGCTGCATACTTGCCCACCCGGGGAATTCTGACACACAGGATGAATAATATGTTCAAAAAATTTTTTTTCAAGTTTTGGTTTTGTAGGGATTTTGTTTGATTCGATGGAGGATTTCATCATGAGCTGACATCAGTTAGAGAACCACTGGAAAACCAGCTGCGAGCACTGGAAGGCTGTTTCGTCCCACTAGTTTGGAACTCTTCGATAGTACGCACACACCACCACAGTTCGAACTCAGGACCTTCTAGAGACAAGGCTAGCGAGCTCGTAGGCCATTCATCAGCCACTGGGAACCACCGATCCAATGGCCCATGAATTGTACCTTCTGCCAATTCACGACATAGCGCGACCACTTAGCAATGTCTTCTTCGATGAGTTACTGCCTCGTTTTCAACCTGCTGCACCCTAGATGTCATGGCTTCTCACTAGTACCCCAAGTCACTGCCTGAATAGGGCAGATTAATTTTCATGTATTGGTTTTGTAGGGATTCCGTTTAATTGGATTAAGGATTTTATTGTGAGCTGACATCCATCAGAGAAGCACTGGAAAACCTGGGAGTACCGGACAGCTGTTTCGTCCTAGTTTGGGACTTTTCATCGAGGTATTTTCCTCACATTCACTTGATAGTGAGATACATGACAGTTGATGCTTCACTAAACGAGCTGTCTGTCTATTGGTTTTATTTACCCTTCTAATTGTCTTAAGTCGGAAAGGTAGGGGGTGATATCTAATCACCTATAGGTTGGAACATACATACACACATAACTACAACCCAAAAGTTTCATCACTATTTGATAAAGTTACACAGTGTTACACAGTCTTAATTACTGATGACGTTTCGAGCACAATCTGTTGCTCACAATCATACATTAAAGCAGCAGTAACAGCAGGAAGTTCCCTTTGACCGTGGCATTGAAAGGATGACTTGATATTCAGCTAGCCGTCTAAAGTACCTGACAGGTTGCTGAGATACCTATGTGCACGACTCTAGAGTGATACAATGTGATTATGCGCCATAAATTGTGCTCAAAACGTCATCACTAAGTAGTCCTGTATAACACCGTGTTACTTCATCAATATAAACTTAATCTTTGTTGGAATTATACTTCACTACAGTGTCCAGCTTCCGTTCTTATAACTGCAGGCCTATTTGGTTTTGCATTGGAATTCGGTGTAATAGTCAGAATACTAGAAAGAATATCTCTACCTATGAACACTAAACAGTAAGTAACTAATGTCCTTCGTCTAGTCCTTTGTTTAGTGCAAAATGTATTTTATCGGTCAATTTTGCAATGTGGTAATCAATACTAAGTGGCTGGACATCACACTGCATTCTGAATTGTTGTTATTATTTGTTTGGAGGTGGTCTGCAGGATGCCTAGACTGAATTAAGTTCCATGCTTGACAGCAATCGTCACCAAAGTGTTTCGGTAACCTTGAAAGAACTCATAGGCCTTCTGAGATCCGAACTTGGGTCACCCAATGCTACTGCACCCAGAGACGTCACGACTGAGCTATTTGGGTGTCAACAATCACCAAATCTAGGTCAAAGGCTTTCTGTAGATCGCATCCATACATCTAAAGATGTACATATATCATCTTTTGGTAATTGCTATCAAATAGGTTGGGGGTTTTTAAGCCAGTGGACAATCATGCTTATCACATCTCACATTGAGATTTGCATAAATGGCGATACATACTTTTATTTTGCTGAATTTCCAAAGCTTTTATGCAGCCTAGACAAGCACGCAAAACAGGGAAAAAGGCATGTATTTTAGGAACTATAAGAGTAGCGTGTAAATGTGTATTTTTTCCTAATTCAATTTTGGAGTTAGGGAAATAGCAGAACAAAAACTTCAGGCAAACTAGAACCTGTTTTTAGATTATAGCTTGATTTAACACAGTATCTTTTGGTACAAGTATAGAATTTTCAGCACGTGCTATCGTGGCCAAAATTTTGCAGGCCCACCATTGATGACAAAGTAAACCTTTTCATCACTTAATCAGTTTGACATAATATAATGACCCATATGTTCCATTCAGTAATCTCTGGCTTTCAGTGGTCCTGTAAATGAAGTCAATTTTTTTATTCCTTCACGTTTCCAGTGGAATTTACGTCTTCAAGCTAGAAACTTGAAGTTTCTTTAGCAGTGGTGTTTATCTTTACAGGATGGTGTTGCTAGCATCATGCCCAACCTTCCCCTTTTATCAGTCTTACTACTGGCTTAGCGAGGTAAAGGAGTGCGTCAGCGTCTGGGGATCGAGTCCCAAACTACATGCGTTATCTGCGAGCATTCTGCCGCTGTGCCACCGACACAAAGGAAGTCAATACGTGATCCATTCAAATCCCAATATATATCTGACTGATTAATTGTGATTATGAATCAGAGCATTGTAAATCATTGTGCTTTTTTCTTTGTGGTTTACTAATTAAAGTACCAACGTATTAATGGGTTGACTAATATTCATTTCCTGTAGGCTAACATAGTAACACCTCATGGATTTTAGAATTTTAAAGTGTCTCAAGTTCTTCCATATTAGTTTGTTTATTAGGTATATCACACAGTGAAACAGTATTATTTACTGGATGACGTTTCGAACAAAATTTATTGTTCATAATCATATCAATTGTGATCACACGACTTTGACACTTGAGTTTTATAGCTTTCTTTGTTTTCTCCTATTTGTCGTAGGGGGAGTAGAATTTTCCAGATATCGGGGACAGGTGATGAATCATTCCTATTACATGTATTTGCAGTTGATTCGATAAACAAAGCTTCTGTTATCAATCTCTCCCTATACCCTGTGACATTAGATTTTAAAACTGTCATCCTATCCCATCCTATTGTATGGTTGTGTGTGACTGCATGCATGGAAAATTCTACTCCCCCTACGACAAATAGGAGAAAACAAAGAAAGCTATAAAACTCAAGTGTCAAAGTCGTGTGATCACAATTGATATGATTATGAACAATAAATTTTGTTCGAAACGTCATCCAGTAAATAATACTGTTTCACTGTGTGATATACCTAATAAACAAACTAATATGGAATTACTTACTACCACAGTGCCCAAGTTTTACACATATATTAATATGTCTCAAGTTCTTTAGGCGTACTTTTCGACAATCAAGCTTACATAAATTGGGTGAGGATAGTTCTCTCTCACATCAGTTAGTGTACAAAGAGGGGAACAGCAAATGGATTAAATTGATTTTCTAAATGTGGTTTCTTTTTATGCAAATTCTACTTTTTATCTAACAGAATATCAGTGAATGCTTATTGTTTTCATCCGCAGTATCATTTTAGATGGATAGATAGAGAAATTAAGCGGACTATTGTGCGCAAAAGCGTTATTGTCAATGAAAGTTGTTAGCCAAACATGCATGTAACATTCAGAAAGACAATGCAGTGAAATGGATTCGAGCATTAATTTCCCTACTGCGACTAGAAGCAATCAATGTTGGTTAAATTGGCTACTGAAGTGCTTTCGTAAAATATCCGACTTCGTTAACTTGAAGTTTTCCGCTTTAAAATTTAGCAACAACAAAAGATTTGCATAGAGAGAGAGCAATAGTTTCCGCTGAATAAAATGATACCATCATTTGTTTATTTCGTTGGCTTCTCATCAGTTGCTTACAAGCCAAAGTCATTATTAAATATATCTACAGAAACAATTTTAACATACTTGCACAGAGTTCATTTTCTGTTCTTCCACTATAACTGCTGCCGTAGTTCCATGTAAATTTGTAGATGATGCAGCCATGGGCAATCCGCTTAGCCCTGTTTTAGCAGATATATTCATGTCCAAACTTGAAAGCACAAAGTTTAAGCATGCAATCAGCGAAACAACTTCTTACTGTCAATGTGTCGATGACATATTTGTAGTGTGCGAAAATGAAAGTCATGCTTTTCACTTACTCAGATTATTCAATGACGCACATACAAATATTGAATTCATTATGGAACATGGGAATGATGGAAAGTTCCGTTTCTTTGACATTGCCATGTAACACCTAGAAGACGGTAGTCTTCAGAGGTCAAATTACCGAAAGCCTACTTGGAAAAGACAATACCTAATTTTTGTCCAATTAGCTTTAAACAAGCACTAGCCGAGACTCTTTACTATTGAGCGGTGAGAAATGGTCTACAGAGTAATTAGAGAAAGAATTTATGTCTCTCGAAAAGATGTTGAAAAGCGATGGTTACCCTCATAGATTTATTAACAAGCACGGAAGGTCTGAAGTCTCAAATGTCAAAGAAATCACAGTGTATAAAAGCCAATCTACATTCAACTTGATTATAAAGGTGTAGACATTGCGGCAACGATCAACAAAAGACTGAGCACGTCACTAGCCAGAGCCTAACCTGCATCTAAGCTTGTTTCCGTCTGTCGAACAACTTGCTCTTTGGTGCAATCGAAAATCGATAGATATCCTTCTCATGTTAACTCCAACTGTATATAAAAATTTACATGTATCTGCGGGAGCAGTTCCATTGGAAGAACAGAAAAAAGGCATATCTACGATTTTCTGAACATGTACCAAAAAGCTTATGTCTGAAGGGAACAAATGCTTTAAACGGTGTTATCACCAGACGTCTCCATGACACGGGTCAGGAGGTGGACGTCAAAAGACCATTAAATATTATCACTGGGCAAAAGAGTCCAATTCTCTGCAAGTTTGCTGAAGCCATGTCCATAAAGCACCTGAAACCCGATTTGTGTGTTCATAAAGAAGCAGTTATCAGTCTTGCTTTGTCCTGGTAACTGGATACTTTCACCTCTCTTTCATCTGATTACGTAATGTTAAAAGTTTCC